ATCCCCAAACAGCCAGCATGATGTTTGTCAACTTCTCATGCACCTTTCTTCGGGGCTTCCCCGTGACCTCTCTTGCGTTTCATGGCGAGCTCATGCTCCCAATGCACCTCACCACGAGGGTAACCTTTTCCCACTTCCTCTTCACCTCCCGGAGCACGAAGTCTCTATGAGGGAACTTCTGGCAAATTGGCAACAAGGTGGAGAAGTGAAAATCCTTACTCACCCGCCTTTGATTGCATTGCAGCTTCTGAGGTTTGTTAGGGAAGGGGGGGGTTTTCGGAGGCTCGAGAACCCAGTTGGTTTTGAGGATCCTTGTGTGCTTGAGGGATTGGATGGGGAACTTCTTCGTTACTACCCCAAGGCCGTGGTCTCGCATTTAGGCAACTCCCCGACCTCTGGACATTATCGAACTTTACTTCTCCCCTCCAAGCTCATTACTGATGATGGGGTAGGTGCTGTTTGCGCCAAGCCTGCAGATGTAGCCTGGTCTAAGTGCTACTCGTACCTGGTTTTGCTAACCCTCCATGTCTGAGCCTTCTCGCAGCTTTTGGCTCCAAGATGGGTAAAGGAAAAGGGAAGAATAAGCCAGGGAAGGGGCAGAATGCCCCTTTCGAGGACCCGGTAACGGAACAGCGGTACCAGGCCCTCTTGCAGCATCGTTTTAGTGAGGGCAAACCTGCTATTTCGAGATCAAGGTACTCCAGGCAAAGCCAGCATTCAGGTACCGACCGGGAACCTCCGGCTTCTGGTCCCAACTTGTCAAGGTCGGTTGAGGCCCCTATCACGAGGCCAAAAGCCGCACCCAAGCCGGGGGTAGCCCGAACCCCACCACCACCACCGCCAAAGCGGCAACGCACAGAGGCCCAGGCTGAGGAGGCCTCGCCAAGAGCCTCCGGTTCCAATCTGCAGGCTGAGGTGCCCTCGCCTTCCAATGCTGATGAACCAGGCCTAGCCTCCACAACTCAGGTTGAGCAGGTCTCACCTGCACCAACCTCTCCTTTGGGGCCTGAGCAGGATGAGGTGCTGACCTCTCCTAAACAGGAACCTGCCCAGAGTTCTCAGACTGAGGTTCCTTCACCGGCAACCAAGCCGGATACAGATGCTGGTGATCCAGGCCCGGCCGCCACAACCCAGGTTGAGAAGGTCTCGCCTGAACCGGCCTCTCCCTCGGAGCATGAGCAGGAAGAGGTACTGACCTCTCCTAAGCAGGAGCCTGCCCAGAGCTCCCAGGTTGAGGTTACCTCACCGGCACCCAAGCCGGATACAGAAGGCAAGGCTTCCAAAACACAGGTTGAGAAGATCTCACCTGAGCCAGCCTCTTCTTTGGTCCCTGAGCAGGTTGAGGAACCCTCACCTCATCCAGATCCTGTCCCCAGTGACCAGGTTGAGGCAAACTCACCGGCCACCACCAAGTTTTCGGAGGAGGCTCCATCCCCAGCGGAGTCCCTTCCAGGCCCAGATCCGGGAATCAAGGGCGAGGACCTCAGAAGGGAGCCAGGTTCGGAGGTTCCCTTGGAGCTTCTCTACAAGCAGCCCCTGAAGATCCCGAGATCCCTCCGAGGCGTGTCCCTTAACAAAAAGGGCTCGTCTGGCACGCCTTGGACTTTTTACACTCCGGCGGAGCTGGAGGACGAGCATGGAGGGGTATGGGCCGTTTTGGGGGTAGGTGGCAGTCGTGTCACCGGAGCCCCCGGCTCAATGGGGACTTGGAGCCGATTTTCAGGTCCTCAAACTGGGGCTCGCCGAGGACATGGGCCAGGAGCAGATTTTTCTGGAGGGACTATCCAGAGATTTCACCTTTATCCCTCGACCGGGGACTTCTGGTGATGTTCTGCTCACCCTGTCAGAGAATGGCCATGGCAAGGGTTTTACCCTACGGGGCCGCGCGGTTTTCTACAGGCGGGTCATCCCTGTGGCTTCTCCGCAGGGAAGGCTTAGGACACTTGATGTCCCGGACCTCCTGGCTTTGTTAAGTGTGGTCGCGTTTTTGAGTGCCTGCCATATCCGCTTGTCGGATCTTGGGGAGCACAATGTAGGTTGGGCCCTCCCGACCTTGGCGCGCACACGCGCCGAGAACATGGCGCTTCAAAGTGCAAAGCTGCGCTCGGCCGACTACGTCCAGGTTTGTTTGTACGACGGGGGCCGCTGGAGAGAAGCGCAGCACAAGCACTGGCCTGGGAAGGCGGCAACCAAGGGGCTCCTTAGCCTATGTGCCAAACATGATATGTTTGGTCCATGGGTGGAAGAACAAATCCACCTCTATGGCTCCCCCGAGGTTTTGTGCAAGGTCTTCCTCCACCGCCTCCAGGACTTTCCGCACCACTTTGAGGGCTTAAAGGACTCGGGGTTCTTGACCTACCTCCCCTTGTGCTACAAGGTTGGTATGGTTATCCCCCTGAGCAACCCTTGGAGCAATCCGGATGATACAACCTGGCAGCTCGTTCCGATCCCTAGTTTGGACACCCCAACCAGTTGAGAAACCCTGAAGGGTTTTAAGGTGAGGTGACTCCCTTAAGCTTGCAAGCCGCTCCAGGGTGAGGAGACTCCCCTTTCCAGCCTTAATTCAACGAGCCAATTTGGTCACAAGCCTAAGTCTGCTCAAGGTGAGGTTACTCCCTTGCTCTACAAGCCAACAACGTGAGGAGACTCCGTGGACTTGGAAAAGCTACAAGGTTGAGACACCTCCCTTGCAACCCCCTTTGTTGCCGCCTAGCTCAAAGTGAGGAGACTCCTTGGAAGGTAGGCTGAGGGCAACCGCAGTAGGCAGGTGAGCTCGACCAGTCTGTGCCGAGGGTGCTGTTTAAGGACATCACCTGATGTCAGACTGGTCTAGAGAAACTCGCCGCTCCCAAAGTGGACTAGGCTCCGAAATCAGGGTGAGGTGACTCCCCTAAAGCTCCGTCTCACCCTGACTCGAACTGGGCTCAGCCCAGCGGACCGACCGCTCGAGCGTGATTTTCAATCCTGGCTTTGGCTCAGACTTTGCAGTGCCGACGTGGCCTTTTAGCCTGGAGTCCCTACTTTTGCTAAAGGCCCTGACTGGAACCCAAACCGCAACCTTAAAGGTCGTAGGCTGGCTGTCCAGCAAGGGTTGGGGCGGGGTAGCGCCATACTGCACGTGCTTTCAAGCCGAACACTTGCTCAGCCGTTGTCACAGGTTGAGCTTGCTCGCCATGACTTGGGGAAAAAACGGTGCCAAGGGTGCAGCAACGCCCTACATCGTCTGTCCTCACTGCTCTAGGGCGGGTAAGCAGAGCTGGATTTTCGTAGACAGAGTCCAGCACCACCCCTTTTGCAACCTGTGTGGCAACGCATGGAAGACCAAGGGTGCTCCGGTCACTCAAAGACTGCGCCCGCGGGGTCCCAAGAAGAACAGGGACAGAAGCGCAACCACTGAGAGTGCCACCCAAAGCCCCCAACGGCCTAGGAATCAAGAGGGCAACCTCTCCAAAGCCGTCACGACACTTTGGCAGAAGTTTCCCCCAGAGGTCCAGAAGGAACTGAGCGAGGCAGGTTTCCAAGCAGGCCGGCAGCCGAGTCCGCCTCCAGGCCTCCAGTCTGGAAAAGGCAATGGGGCAAAGGGTGGGCTTGACGAGCAGGCCGAAGCCTCTAAGAACCTGTGGGATTCTGCGTCTGATGATCAGAAGAAGCTGATGCGCCAAGCTGGCATCCCTGAGCCGGTTGCGTCGGAGCCAACAGACCTTGCGGCCCTTTGCAAGAAGCACTTGGAGTCAATGCCGCCTTCGATCCAGCAAGCCCTTGCAGCACTTGATCCTCCGGCCCCCACGCAGACTCAGCAGATTGAGATTGCAACTCGTCGCTTTAAGCAGAGCACTACGGACTTGCGACTGATGATCCAGCAAACTGCTGCCTTACAGATTCGCATAGACCGCGCCAAAGCAACCTACCAGGAGCTGCTTGAGAAGATGAAGGTTTGCCAATCTGAATTGCAGAGCAAACAAGCTGAAGTCACGGCTATGCAGTCGGAGTTGGAAGCCACACTCCGTGCTGATGCTTCGGGTCTGGAGGACCCCGCGCGCAAGGACGATCCCTTGGAAGGGCTTCTAGATACGCTTGCCAAAGTTGGAATTGTCCTGACCCAGGAGCAGAAGGAGCTTTACGAGGAGGCCCAGCGCGGCAAGCTTAATGATGGGCAGCAGAATATGGAAGTTGAAGCCACAAACCAGCCTGGTTTGACGGCTCCGACCCGTGCCCCGCTGAGCCAAACTCTGCCAGAACACAAGGGCACTGAGCCGCATGAGCAAGCCAAGCCCAGGTCCAGGAGCCGAGGCCGTAGCACGCAGCAAGGTTAGGGAGTGGGGCTGGGGGTCCAGGTTAGGTCTGTTTTCGAGGAAGGTCCTTTAAGTGGGGAGAGTGGGCAACCTGCTTGTGCATTTCAGCCTGCCCTTCAGCTTGATCAAGACGTTTCCTGTGCCCCTGCGTCCAGCTCTCAGCCATGCGGGTTTTCCGGCGAATCGGTTAAGCGACCCATTTCTTTGTACAGTGATTTGTTTTCATTGGGGGAGTGCCAACCTCAGCAGCCCAAGTCCTTAGAGAAGGTTTCAGGGTATGTTGAGGCTTACTCACAATTTTGCAACCAAGACCTTGTATGGGGTCAGTTTTGGTTACCAGGGTTTTCTGGTCAGGAAGAATGGGATTCTTGTGGGGATCTGAGTGCCTGGCAGACTGTTACCAAAGGATTGCGCCACAGCACCCCGCTGCAGTCCCAGGACACCCAACTCATCACAGGGCCCCAGTTCTGGCCCCCATCTTTCTCGACAACTGAGTTTGATGAGGTCCCTGTGACCGGTGCTTCTCCAATCTCTGCTTTTGTGGCCACAACCTCAGCAACGGCATCTCAAGTTGAGGAGTTTCCTCGCTTACAGGCGTCGGGGAGCCATGCCGAGGTTGGGGTCACCCGCAAACGTAATAAAACCAGACGCAGAGCGAAAAAGCCCAAACACATTAGGGTACCCTTTTCTCAGCTTGCCCCTTGTGAAATGCCACCTGAGGTGCCACCTTTGGCAAGCCCACACAGCCAGTGGCGAACGCTCGAAGGCCAGGTGTGGGAGGCTGTCCAGAACCCAGATCTGTTGGGAGCAACTTCAGAGGTGGTTGGCCACCTTCTTGATCAGGTTGAGCAGGGCAGCTTAGGTTGGTGGCTGTGCCAGGAGATCTTGGCCCTCCAACGTTCTTTTGACTTAACTATGCTCTTGCTTGTTGCTCGGGGCTTTGAAGTTTTGTGCAAATCGCAGCCACAGGGGCACAGGCAAATGCGAGTCACATCTTGCAACATTACTTCTTGGAGACCAGAAGTCAAGCAATGGTTTTCAGCTCAAGGGGATGTTATCTTGATTCAGGAGCACCATCTTTTGGAGTCCCAAGTTGTTGCTGAAATCTCGTCTATGGCTGCCATGGGCTTCGACTCCTTCCTTTTGCCCGCAGCCCCTGGGGAAGGCCGACGGAATAGCTCTAGAGGCGGAGTTGGGGTTTTAGTTAGAGCCCACCTGGGAGCCCGTTTGCGAGGTCAGTATACCAACCAAGGCTGTGGCTACGTGGCGGTGACGCTACGCACACAAGGGGCTGACTTGACAGTAGTTAGCCTGTACCTCCAGTCTTCCTCCGGCTTCGGGTCCCCGGTCAACTCTGACATCCTTGCATCTCTGCGCGCAATTCGTCAATCTGTGAGGGGCCCAATCCTGATAGGTGGAGACTGGAACTCGCCTTTGAAGGATTTGTTGGACACTGCCATTTTTCAAAGTTTGTCCCTGGAACCAATTGGGCCCAACAAAGCCACCTGTGGTGACAATGAGCTTGATTTTCTGGCTGTATCACACTGCCTGGAAGGTTTGCTCCGGGTTGATGCCTCCTGGGATGTTCCTTTCAAGCCACATGCAGCAATCCAAGTTGCCCTCAATGTGGGCGCTTTCCAGCTCACCACTCCACAGCTTCCCTCCTTTGTGCTTTCCTTCAGGGAAGAACCGCTTGATTACATACAGGTTGAGGAGACCCTCGCCTCTTTGCCGGATACCACCTTTTCGGCTGACCCCCTGAGCAATCGACTGGCTTCCATTTCCAGTTCGGTTGAGCACAGTCTTTTGCAATCGTCCCAGGGTATTGGTCGCCAACTCCAAGTTGAATTCCTCCCAGCTGTTCCTCGCATGTCCCAGTTCGCATGGGAAGGTTCTTGCCAGGCTTTTTGGCACCGGGTACAATTTCTGTGCCAGGGAGACCACCCCAAACGTCGAGAGCAATGCCAGGAGTATTTGCCGCAGATCCTGGACCACTGGCAGGGCAACTCGGAGGAGGCTGTTTCTTTTCTTTCTACGCTCCAGGCCTGTCTCTCGGAGCAGGCTGCTGTTCCCGAGCCCGTCCAGCAATTATTGCAGGAGCAATTTCTGCTGGCCTCTAAAGTTCACCAGGATGCCCAGACCAAGTCGTACAGGTCGTGGTTGCAGGGAGCCCAAGAAAAAGGGATGGCCCCCCTTTTCAAGACGATCAAAAAAGGTGAAATCACCACTGCACGTCCCTTTCGGGATCTGTCCGCAGAGGTCCGCGCCCTGGCTAGAACCAAACTATGGCTCCGCACTTGGAAAGGCGTACTTAGAGTTGAGGACCTTCCTCCTCTTCCACACGCAGAGCAACAGGCTCGCGGAAAGCTACGGGAACTGGCTGCTCAGCAGGTCGCTACCCTGAGCCCCATTTCCCCGGAACAGCTGCAACAAAGGTTTTCCAAAGGCAGGGTCACTGCCCCAGGACCGGACGGCTGGAGCAAGTCCCTTCTCAAGAAATTGACTTGGCCAATGCTTCAGGACATCGCTGAATTTTATCAGGAGCTCGAAAGAGGCCTCCGAGTCCCGCAGCAGTTTCTCCTGACACAAGTTTGTATGCTGCCCAAATCGGCTACTGCTGAGAGACCTATCTCTTTAACTCACGTTTTGTGGAGGGACTACTGCAGAGCCAGGTGGTCCCTGATCCAAGAGTGGACGGTCTCCTACCAGGCCCTGGCTCCTTGGGATGCCGCAGTGCCAGGTCGAACATCTTTAGACATCGGCATCCGCCGGTTGCTGTGGGCCGAAGCCTCCCGAACTCAGTCCAAACACTTTGTAGGACTCTTTCTTGATATCAAAGGTTTCTATGATTGTGTAGTTTGGGCCTCGGTAGTCGACACCGGACTCCTGTTGCAGTTCCCACCTTTGCTTTTGGAGCTTTCCCTTCAAATTTATGGTGGGACACGATTTGTCTCAGCCGAAAATTCGGTTTCGCCGGGAATCATTCCCACAGTTGGGTTGCTTCAGGGTTGCCCTGTTGCGCCGGTGGTTTCGAAACTGGCTTTGTTTGTCCCAATCAGGGACCTTCAGGCTACTGGCCTCACTCACAACATCGACCAGTGGCTGGATGACATTTCGGCTGACGTGGTAGGGTCCACTGCTTCTAACACGGCTCACAAAGCCCTCAAGACATTTCGTATACTGCGAGACTCTCTTGCGGAACGAAATCTTCAGGTTTCCTTGGAAAAAACCAAGTTTCTTTGCTCAGACTCTGCCACCTCTCAAGTTCTTGCGCGTCTGCGTTCGGACCAAGATCCTGGCATTACTCTGTTAGCCAAAGACTTAGGGGTTGACAGCAATGCTGGCAGACGCCGCAGGCTTGCCACCTCTCTGGGCAGGCACAAGAAGGCGCAAGGCCGCCACAAGCGCCTTCGTGCTTTAGGTGTTGATTCGCATTGTTCACGCACGAGGGTTGTGCGCGGATCCATCATGACATGTGCCACCTATGGCCATCAGGCACAGGGTGTTAGTCCCAAACGGTTGAAATGGCACCGCGCTGTGCTGGCTGGTAGCTTAGGACGCCAACATCTAGGAGGAACCCTGACCGTCTTGGAGATGTTCTCCCACAGATTTCCGGATCCCCGAGAGCAGATCATTTGTGAGCATTTGCAAGTTTTTCTTCGTATTCTTGGCCGTTCTCCTTCCATTTGGGAGGAAGTTCAAAGGTCCTGGCCCTTGGTCAAATCCAGGTTGGAGGCTTCGCCTCACCCTTGGAAAATCGTTGCCGGACCCATTTCGGCCATGATTCAGTATGCCAGGGATATGGGATGGGATGTCCAGTCCCCGGAAGTCTGGCATATTGATGGCCACCCCTGGCCCGTTGACTTCAGCCCCTTTCTTTTTCAGGAGCTGCGGCGCAAGATTCGGTCTACCATCAAGAGCGAAAGGTTGCGAGCCATCTCTGGCCAACATGGCGGCCAAGGAGCTCAGGAGGGTGTAGATTTCACAATTCATCGCCGCATTGCTTTAAAGAAGACCAAACGTCTGACCTTCTACAGGTCAATCTGGCAAGGTGCAGTTGTGCATGCGGGAAGTGGTGGCCACCCCAAGTGCCCTTACTGTAAGGATCGGGGCCTTGATTCAGAAAACACACTACAACATGTGCTGTGGGACTGCCCCAGATGGGCTAGACAGCCAAAGCTTCCCAGGCATCTTGAACAAATGCGTCAGTCCCATCCTGCGCCCTGCCTTTGGTTGCGAGCCCTTCCCCCTCTTGCCTATGTCTCCTCGCCACTTCAGAACGCTGAGGATAGGTATGCGGGCACCTGGCCGTCACAGCCCTGGGACTCGGATCTTGTCATTGGTACTGATGCCAGTGGCGGAAAATTTTCTTCCGATCCCAGATTGCGGACCATTGGATGGGCTGTGATTCTAGCACGCAAAACGGGCCAAAGTATCACAGTTATTGCAACTGCGAGCGGGGTTTTGCCTCGGCCGGCCACGGTTCTAGATGGGGAGGTCCATGCCATTGTTAAGGCCCATGAGCTTTGCCCAGGCCTGACGGATCTTACTACGGATTCTCGGGTAGCTTGCAAGCAGGCTGCAGCTAGGGCGGTTACATCCAAGCATTCCATGTTTTGGAAACCCCAATGGCAGAACATATCCCCACAACATCTTCATTGGGTTAAGGCTCACTTGGATGTAGGAAAATTTGCTGAAAAGTTTGGAAAAGATGAGGTTTGGCGTTGGCATTTGAATCAGGAAGCTGACCAACTTGCTGGGTCCAGGGCTGACCAAGCTTTGCACCCTGATGCCAAGAAAGCAAGTCAGGCAAGTTGACACGCTGGTTTCCACCCTTTCCCAGCTACTTAGCCAGAGGGCGGAGATTTTGATTACTACTCAGGACAAGAAGACTATTTTCTGCAAGCGCCAGCCAAAACCTCCAACCCTCAACAAAAGGCAACAGATTGAGCAACTCGTCAGCCAAACCGTCTCTCCGCTGGGACACCAGTGGGAAATTCGGAGTCAGCACCCTACGAACCTCACAGCCATGTGTGGGAAATGTGGCCTTTACCTGCAGCAAGTGGACCCTCCTTCACTGTTCCAGCAGGTCCTTGCCCAGCCGTGCTTGGGAAGGGAAGGTCGTCCCCCGGAGCACCTGGCCTGTCACTCTTCCCATCAGCTTGTTTCCATAGGCAAAGCTTGGCAGTGTAAAGTGTGTGAAGGCATTTTGCCAGCGCGGGCAAAGAAAGTCCCGGGGCTCCTCCAGTCCCTGTGTGTGACCCGCAAACACACTAACAAACTGACTAAGTTCACCAAGAGTTTGTTAAGTGGCGTAGGGGTCCCGGAGTCACTACCTGCCTCCAAGAAGGCTAGCAAGCTTTCTAAGGAGACTCTCCCAAAAGCCCAAAACCTTAGCAACTTCTTTGCAACACCACTTAACAGGGTTGAGGCCACTCCCCTGCAAACTCTCACTCCCGATGACCCTCCCTTGCAGAACATGGTCAGGATTGAGCCTCCCTCTCCTGCTGTCCGCGATTACCGGGATCCTGGAAGCCCAGAGCTTGGAGACTTAAGGGCTGCTGGCTCCATTGTTCGCAAGGTGAAGTTCCAAAATCCATCCAACCATTGTTACACCAATTCTCTGGTGGTTGGTTTCTTTTGGGTTGACCTGCTCCTTGATGCCTCCAGCCCCTTTGCGGGATCCCCCATCCAGGGCATCCTGCGATGGTTGAAAGATCAGCGCAAAGTCGAGCTGTGGCAGTCCCTGGTTTGGAAGAGATTAGTTGCAGGCCAGGGTCGATGGGAATCCCCAAACAGCCAGCATGATGTTTGTCAACTTCTCATGCACCTTTCTTCGGGGCTTCCCCGTGACCTCTCTTGCGTTTCATGGCGAGCTCATGCTCCCAATGCACCTCACCACGAGGGTAACTTTTTCCCACTTCCTCTTCACCTCCCGGAGCACGAAGTCTCTATGAGGGAACTTCTGGCAAATTGGCAACAAGGTGGAGAAGTGAAAATCCTTACTCACCCGCCTTTGATTGCATTGCAGCTTTTGAGGTTTGTTAGGGAAGGGGGGGGTTTTCGGAGGCTCGAGAACCCAGTTGGTTTTGAGGATCCTTGTGTGCTTGAGGGATTGGATGGGGAACTTCTTCGTTACTACCCCAAGGCCGTGGTCTCGCATTTAGGCAACTCCCCGACCTCTGGACATTATCGAACTTTACTTCTCCCCTCCAAGCTCATTACTGATGATGGGGTAGGTGCTGTTTGCGCCAAGCCTGCAGATGTAGCCTGGTCTAAGTGCTACTCGTACCTGGTTTTGCTAACCCTCCATGTCTGAGCCTTCTCGCAGCTTTTGGCTCCAAGATGGGTAAAGGAAAAGGGAAGAATAAGCCAGGGAAGGGGCAGAATGCCCCTTTCGAGGACCCGGTAACGGAACAGCGGTACCAGGCCCTCTTGCAGCATCGTTTTAGTGAGGGCAAACCTGCTATTTCGAGATCAAGGTACTCCAGGCAAAGCCAGCATTCAGGTACCGACCGGGAACCTCCGGCTTCTGGTCCCAACTTGTCAAGGTCGGTGGAGGCCCCTATCACGAGGCCAAAAGCCGCACCCAAGCCGGGGGTAGCCCGAACCCCACCACCACCACCGCCAAAGCGGCAACGCACAGAGGCCCAGGCTGAGGAGGCCTCGCCAAGAGCCTCCGGTTCCAATCTGCAGGCTGAGGTGCCCTCGCCTTCCAATGCTGATGAACCAGGCCTAGCCTCCACAACTCAGGTTGAGCAGGTCTCACCTGCACCAACCTCTCCTTTGGGGCCTGAGCAGGATGAGGTGCTGACCTCTCCTAAACAGGAACCTGCCCAGAGTTCTCAGACTGAGGTTCCTCCACCGGCAACCAAGCCGGATACAGATGCTGGTGATCCAGGCCCGGCCGCCACAACCCAGGTTGAGAAGGTCTCGCCTGAACCGGCCTCTCCCTCGGAGCATGAGCAGGAAGAGGTACTGACCTCTCCTAAGCAGGAGCCTGCCCAGAGCTCCCAGGTTGAGGTTACCTCACCGGCACCCAAGCCGGATACAGAAGGCAAGGCTTCCAAAACACAGGTTGAGAAGATCTCACCTGAGCCAGCCTCTTCTTTGGTCCCTGAGCAGGTTGAGGAACCCTCACCTCATCCAGATCCTGTCCCCAGTGACCAGGTTGAGGCAACTCACCGGCCACCACCAAGTTTTCGGAGGAGGCTCCATCCCCAGCGGAGTCCCTTCCAGGCCCAGATCCGGGAATCAAGGGCGAGGACCTCAGAGGGGAGCCAGGTTCGGAGGTTCCCTTGGAGCTTCTCTACAAGCAGCCCCTGAAGATCCCGAGATCCCTCCGAGGCGTGTCCCTTAACAAAAAGGGCTCGTCTGGCACGCCTTGGACTTTTTACACTCCGGCGGAGCTGGAGGACGAGCATGGAGGGGTATGGGCCGTTTTGGGGGTAGGTGGCAGTCGTGTCACCTTGGAGCCCCCGGCTCAATGGGGACTTGGAGCCGATTTTCAGGTCCTCAAACTGGGGCTCGCCGAGGACATGGGCCAGGAGCAGATTTTTCTGGAGGGACTCTCCAGAGATTTCACCTTTATCCCTCGACCGGGGACTTCTGGTGATGTTCTGCTCACCTTGTCAGAGAATGGCCATGGCAAGGGTTTTACCCTACGTGGCCGCGCGGTTTTCTACAGGCGGGTCATCCCTGTGGCTTCTCCGCAGGGAAGGCTTAGGACACTTGATGTCCCGGACCTCCTGGCTTTGTTAAGTGTGGTCGCGTTTTTGAGTGCCTGCCATATCCGCTTGTCGGATCTTGGGGAGCACAATGTAGGTTGGGCCCTCCCGACCTTGGCGCGCACACGCGCCGAGAACATGGCGCTTCAAAGTGCAAAGCTGCGCACGGCCGACTACGTGCAGGTTTGTTTGTACGACGGGGGCCGCTGGAGAGAAGCGCAGCACAAGCACTGGCCTGGAAAGGCGGCAACCAAGGGGCTTCTTAGCCTATGCGCCAAACATGAAATGTTTGGTCCATGGGTGGAAGAACAAATCCACCTTTATGGCTCCCCCGAGGTTTTGTGCAAGGTCTTCCTCCACCGCCTCCAGGACTTTCCGCACCACTTTGAGGGCTTAAAGGACTCGGGGTTCTTAACCTACCTCCCCTTGTGCTACAAGGTTGGTATGGTTATTCCCCTGAGCAACCCTTGGAGCAATCCGGATGATACAACCTGGCAGCTCGTTCCGATCCCTAGTTTGGACACCCCGACCAGTTGAAAAACCCCTGAAGGGTTTTAAGGTGAGGTGACTCCCTTAAGCTTGCAAGCCGCTTCAGGGTGAGGAGACTCCCCTTTCCAGCCTTAATTCAACGAGCCAATTTGGTCACAAGCCTAAGTCTGCTCAAGGTGAGGCTACTCCCTTGCTCTACAAGTCAACAACGTGAGGAGACTCCGTGGACTTGGAGAAGCTACAAGGTTGAGACACCTCCCTTGCACACCCCCTTTTGTTGCCGCCTAGCTCAAAGTGAGGAGACTCCTTGGAAGGTAGGCTGAGGGCAACCGCAGTAGGCAGGTGAGCTCGACCAGTCTGTGCCGAGGGTGCTGTTTAAGGACATCACCTGATGTCAGACTGGTCTAGAGAAACTCGCCGCTCCCAAAGTGGACTAGGCTCCGAAATCAGGGTGAGGTGACTCCCCTAAAGCTCCGTCTCACCCTGACTCGAACTGGGCTCAGCCCAGCGGACCGACCGCTCGAGCGTGATTTTCAATCCTGGCTCAAGTTTTCGGCTCAGACTTTGCAGTGCCGACGTGGCCTTTTAGCCTGGAGTCCCTACTTTTGCTAAAGGCCCTGACTGGAACCCAAACCGCAACCTTAAAGGTCGTAGGCTGGCTGTCCAGCAAGGGTTGGGGCGGGGTAGCGCCATACTGCACGTGCTTTCAAGCCGAACACTTGCTCAGCCGTTGTCACAGGTTGAGCTTGCTCGCCATGACTTGGGGAAAAAACGGTGCCAAGGGTGCAGCAACGCCCTACATCGTCTGTCCTCACTGCTCTAGGGCGGGTAAGCAGAGCTGGATTTTCGTAGACAGAGTCCAGCACCACCCCTTTTGCAACCTGTGTGGCAACGCCTGGAAGACAAAGGGTGCTCCGGTCACTCAAAGACTGCGCCCGCGGGGTCCCAAGAAGAACAGGGACAGAAGCGCAACCACTGAGAGTGCAACCCAAAGCCCCCAACGGCCCAGGAATCAAGAGGGCAACCTCTCCAAAGCCGTCACGACTCTTTGGCAGAAGTTTCCCCCAGAGGTCCAGAAGGAACTGAGCGAGGCAGGTTTCCAAGCAGGCCGGCAGCCGAGTCCGCCTCCAGGCCTCCAGTCTGGAAAAGGCAACGGGGCAAAGGGTGGGCTTGACGAGCAGGCCGAAGCCTCTAAGAACCTGTGGGATTCTGCGTCTGATGATCAGAAGAAGCTGATGCGCCAAGCTGGCATCCCTGAGCCGGTTGCGTCGGAGCCAACAGACCTTGCGGCCCTTTGCAAGAAGCACTTGGAGTCAATGCCGCCTTCGATCCAGCAAGCCCTTGCAGCACTTGATCCTCCGGCCCCCACGCAGACTCAGCAGATTGAGATTGCAACTCGTCGCTTTAAGCAGAGCACTACGGACTTGCGACTGATGATCCAGCAAACTGCTGCCTTACAGATTCGCATAGACCGAGCCAAAGCAACCTACCAGGAGCTGCTTGAGAAGATGAAGGTTTGCCAATCTGATTTGCAGAGCAAACAAGCTGAAGTCACGGCTATGCAGTCGGAGTTGGAAGCCACACTCCGTGCTGATGCTTCGGGTCTGGAGGACCCCGCGCGCAAGGACGATCCCTTGGAAGGGCTTCTAGATACGCTTGCCAAAGTTGGAATTGTCCTGACCCAGGAGCAGAAGGAGCTTTACGAGGAGGCCCAGCGCGGCAAGCTTAATGATGGGCAGCAGAATATGGAAGTTGAAGCCACAAACCAGCCTGGTTTGACGGCTCCGACCCGTGCCCCGCTGAGCCAAACTCTGCCAGAACACAAGGGCACTGAGCCGCATGAGCAAGCCAAGCCCAGGTCCAGGAGCCGAGGCCGTAGCACGCAGCAAGGTTAGGGAGTGGGGCTGGGGGTCCAGGTTAGGTCTGTTTTCGAGGAAGGTCCTTTAAGTGGGGAGAGTGGGCAACCTGCTTGTGCATTTCAGCCTGCCCTTCTGCTTGATCAAGACGTTTCCTGTGCCCCTGCGTCCAGCTCTCAGCCATGCGGGTTTTCCGGCGAATCGGTTAAGAGACCCATTTCTTTGTACAGTGATTTGTTTTCATTGGGGGAGTGCCAACCTCAGCAGCCCAAGTCCTTAGAGAAGGTTTCAGGGTATGTTGAGGCTTACTCACAATTTTGCAACACCGACCTTGTATGGGATCAGTTTTGGTTACCTGGTTTTTCTGGTCAGGAAGAATGGGATTCTTTTGGGGATTTGAGTGCCTGGCAGACTGTTACCAAAGGATTACGCCACAGCACCCCGCTGCAGTCCCAGGACACCCAACTCATCACAGGGCCCCAATTCTGGCCCCCATCTTTCTCGACAACTGAGTTTGATGAGGTCCCTGTGACCGGTGCTTCTCCAATCTCTGCTTTTGTGGCCACAACCTCAGCAACGGCATCTCAAGTTGAGGAGTTTCCTCGCTTACAGGCGTCGGGGAGCCATGCCGAGGTTGGGGTCACCCGCAAACGTAATAAAACCAGGCGCAGAGCGAAAAAGCCCAAACACATTAGGGTGCCATTCTCTCAGCTTGCCCCTTGTGAGATGCCACCTGAGTTGCCACCGTTGGCAAGCCCACACAGCCAGTGGCGAACACTCGAAGGCCAGGTGTGGGAGACTGTCCAGAACCCAGATCTGTTGGGAGCAACTTCAGAGTTGGTTGCCCACCTTCTTGATCAGGTTGAGCAGGGCAGCTTAGGTTGGTGGCTGTGCCAAGAGATCTTGGCCCTCCAACGTTCTTTTGACTTGACTTTGCTCTTGCTTGTTGCTCGGGGCTTTGAAGTTTTGTGCAAATCGCAGCCACAGGGGCACAGGCAAATGCGAGTCACATCTTGCAACATCACTTCTTGGAGGCCAGAAGTCAAGCAATGGTTTTCAGCTCAAGGGGATGTTATCTTGATTCAGGAGCACCATCTTTTGGAGTCCCAAGTTGTTGCTGAAATTTCGTCTATGGCTGCCATGGGCTTTGACTCCTTCCTTGTGCCCGCAGCCCCTGGGGAAGGCCGACGGAATAGCTCTAGAGGCGGAGTAGGGGTTTTAGTTAGAGCCCACCTGGGAGCCCGTTTGCGAGGCCAGTATACCAACCAAGGTTGTGGCTACGTGGCGGTGACGCTACGCACACAAGGGGCTGACTTGACAGTAGTTAGCCTGTACCTCCAGTCTTCCTCCGGCTTCGGGTCCCCGGTCAACTCTGACATCCTTGCATCTCTGCGCGCAATTCGTCAATCTGTGAGGGGCCCAATCCTGATAGGTGGAGACTGGAACTCGCCTTTGAAGGATTTGTTGGACACTTCCATTTTTCAAAGTTTGTCCCTGGAACCAATTGGGCCCAACGAAGCCACCTGTGGTGACAATGAGCTTGATTTTCTGGCTGTATCACACTGCCTGGAAGGTTTGCTCCGGGTTGATGCCTCCTGGGATGTTCCTTTCAAGCCACATGCAGCAATCCAAGTTGCCCTTAATGTGGGCGCTTTCCAGCTCACCACTCCACAGCTTCCCTCCTTTGTGCTTTCCTTCAGGGAAGAACCGCTTGATTACATACAGGTTGAGGAGACCCTCGCCTCTTTGCCAGATACCACCTTGTCGGCTGACCCCCTGAGCAATCGACTGGCTTCCATTTCCAGTTCGGTTGAGCGCAGTCTTTTGCAATCGTCCCAGGGTATTGGTCGCCAACTCCAAGTTGAATTCCTCCAGCTGTTCCTCGCATGTCCCAGTTCGCATGGGAAGGTTCTTGCCAGGCTTTTTGGCACCGGGTACAATTTCTGTGCCAGGGAGACCACCCCAAACGTCGAGAGCAATGCCAGGAGTATTTGCCGCAGATCCTGGACCACTGGCAAGGCAACTCGGAGGAGGCTGTCTCCTTTCTTTCTACGCTCCAGGCCTGTCTCTCGGAGCAGGCTGCTGTTCCCGAGCCCGTCCAGCAATTATTGCAGGAGCAATTTCTGCTGGCCTCTAAAGTTCACCAGGAGGCCCAGACCAAGTCGTACAGGTCGTGGTTACAGGGAGCCCAAGAAAAAGGGATGGCTCCCCTTTTCAAGACGATCAAAAAAGGTGAAATAACCACTGCACGTCCCTTCCGGGATCTGTCCGCAGAGGTTCGCGCCCTGGCTAGAACCAAACTATGGCTCCGCACTTGGAAAGGCGTACTTAGAGTTGAGGACCTTCCTCCTCTTCCACACGTAGAGCAACAGGCTCGCGGGAAACTACGGGAACTGGCTGCTCAGCAGGTAGCTACCCTGAGCCCCATTTCCCCGGAACAGCTGCAACAAAGGTTCTCCAAAGGCAGGGTCACTGCCCCAGGACCGGATGGCTGGAGCAAGTCCCTTCTCAAGAAACTGACTTGGCCAATGCTTCAGGACATCGCTGAATTTTATCAGGAGCTCGAAAGAGGCCTCCGAGTCCCGCAGCAGTTTCTCCTGACACAAGTTTGTATGCTGCCCAAATCGGCTACGGCTGAGAGACCTATCTCTTTAACTCACGTTTTGTGGCGGGACTACTGCAGAGCCAGGTGGTCCCTGATCCAAGAGTGGACGGTCTCCTACCAGGCCCTGGCTCCTTGGGATGCCGCAGTGCCAGGTCGAACATCTCTAGACATCGGCATTCGCCGGTTGCTGTGGGCCGAAGCCTCCCGAACTCAGTCCAAACACTTTGTAGGACTCTTTCTTGATATCAAAGGCTTCTATGATTGTGTAGTTTGGGCCTCGGTAGTCGACACCGGACTCCTGTTGCAGTTCCCACCTTTGCTTTTGGAGCTTTCCCTTCAAATTTATGGTGGGACACGATTTGTCTCAGCCGAAAATTCGGTTTCGCCGGGAATAATTCCCACAGTTGGGTTGCTTCAGGGTTGCCCTGTTGCGCCGATGGTTTCGAAACTGGCTTTGTTTGTCCCAATCAGGGACCTTCAGGCTACTGGCCTCACTCACAACATCGACCAGTGGCTGGATGACATTTCGGCTGATGTGGTAGGGTCCACTGCTTCTAACACGGCTCACAAATCCCTCAAGACATTTCGTATACTGCGAGACTCTCTTGCGGAACGAAATCTTCAGGTTTCCTTGGAGAAAACCAAGTTTCTTTGCTCAGATTCTGCCACCTCTCAAGTTCTTGCGCGTCTGCGTTCGGACCAAGATCCTGGCATTACTCTGTTAGCCAAAGACTTAGGGGTTGACAGCAATGCTGGCAGACGCCGCAGGCTTGCCACCTCTCTGGGCAGGCACAAGAAGGCGCAAGGCCGCCACAAGCGCCTTCGTGCTTTAGGTGTTGATTCGCATTGTTCACGCACGAGGGTTGTGCGCGGATCCATCATGACATGTGCCACCTATGGCCATCAGGCACAGGGTGTTAGCCCCAAACGGTTGAAATGGCACCGCGCTGTGCTGGCTGGTAGCTTAGGACGCCAACATCTTGGAGGAACCCTGACCGTCTTGGAGATGTTCTCCCACAGATTTCCGGATCCCCGAGAGCAGATCATTTGTGAGCATTTGCAAGTTTTTCTTCGTATTCTTGGCCGTTCTCCTTCCATTTGGGAGGAAGTTCAAAGGTCCTGGCCCTTGGTCAAATCCAGGTTGGAGGCTTCGCCTCACCCTTGGAAAATCGTTGCCGGACCCATTTCGGCCATGATTCAGTATGCCAGGGATATGGGATGGGATGTCCAGTCCCCGGAAGTCTGGCATATTGATGGCCACCCCTGGCCGTTGACTTCAGCCCCTTTCTTTTTCAGGAGCTGCGGCGCAAGATTCGGTCTACCATCAAGAGCGAAAGGTTGCGAGCCATCTCTGGCCAACATGGCGGTCAAGGAGCTCAGGAGGGTGTAGATTTTACAATTCATCGCCGCATTGCTTTAAAGAAGACCAAACGTCTGACCTTCTACAGGTCAATCTGGCAAGGTGCAGTTGTGCATGCGGGAAGTGGTGGCCACCCCAAGTGCCCTTACTGTAAGGATCGGGGCCTTGATTCAGAAAACACACTACAACATGTGCTGTGGGACTGCCCCAGATGGGCCAGACAGCCAAAGCTTCCCAGGCATCTTGAACAAATGCGTCAGTCCCATCCTGCGCCCTGCCTTTGGTTGCGAGCCCTTCCCCCTCTTGCCTATGTCTCCTCGCCACTTCAGAACGCTGAGGATAGGTATGCGGGCACCTGGCCGTCACAGCCCTGGGACTCGGATCTTGTCATTGGCACCGATGCCAGTGGCGGAAAATTTTCTTCCGATCCCAGATTGAGGACCATTGGATGGGCTGTGATTCTAGCACGCAAAACGGGCCAAAGCATCACAGTTATCGCAACTGCGAGCGGGGTTTTGCCTCGGCCGGCCACGGTTCTAGATGGGGAGGTCCATGCCATTGTCAAGGCCCATGAGCTTTGCCCGGGCCTGAAGGATCTTACTACAGATTCTCGGGTAGCTTGCAAGCAGGCCGCAGCTAGGGCGGTTACATCCAAGCATTCCATGTTTTGGAAACCCCAATGGCAGAACATATCCCCACAACACCTTCATTGGGTCAAGGCCCACTTGGATGTAGGAAAATTTGCTGAAAAGTTTGGAAAAGATGAGGTTTGGCGTTGGCATTTGAATCAGGAAGCTGACCAACTTGCTGGGTCCAGGGCTGACCAAGCTTTGCACCCTGATGCCAAAAAGCAAGTCAGGCAAGTTGACACGCTGGTTTCCACCCTTTCCCAGCTACTTAGTCAGAGGGCGGAGATTTTGATTACTACGCAGGACAAGAAGACTATTTTCTGCAAGCGCCAGCCAAAACCTCCAACCCTTAACAAAAGGCAGCAGATTGAGCAACTCGTCAGCCAAACCGTCTCTCCGCAGGGACACCAGTGGGAAATTCGGAGTCAGCACCCTACGAACCTCACAGCCATGTGTGGGAAATGTGGCCTTTACCTGCAGCAAGTTGACCCTCCTTCACTGTTCCAGCAGGTCCTTGCCCAGCCGTGCTTGGGAAGGGAAGGTCGTCCCCCGGAGCACCTGGCCTGTCACTCCTCCCATCAGCTTGTTTCCATAGGCAAAGCCTGGCAGTGTAAAGTGTGTGAAGGCATTTTGCCAGCGCGGGCAAAGAAAGTCCCGGGGCTCCTCCAGTCCCTATGTGTGACCCGTAAACACACTAACAAACTGACTAAGTTCACCAAGAGTTTGTTAAGTGGTGTAGGGGTTCCGGAGTCACTACCTGCCTCCAAGAAGGCTAGCAAGCTTTCTAAGGAGACTCTCCCAAAAGCCCAAAACCTTAGCAACTTCTTTGCAACACCACTTAACAGGGTTGAGGTCACTCCCCTGCAAACTCTCACTTCCGATGACCCTCCCTTGCAGAACATGGTCAGGATTGAGCCTCCCTCTCCTGCTGTCCGCGATTACCGGGATCCTGGTAGCCCAGAGCTTGGAGACTTAAGGGCTGCCGGCTCCATTGTTCGCAAGGTGAAGTTCCAAAATCCATCCAACCATTGTTACACCAATTCTTTGGTGGTTGGTTTCTTTTGGATTGACCTGCTCCTTGATGCCTCCAGCCCCTTTGCTGGATCCCCCATCCAGGGCATTCTGCGATGGTTGAAAGATCAACGCAAAGTCGAGCTGTGGCAGTCCCTGGTTTGGAAGAGATTAGTTGCAGGCCAGGGTCGATGGGAATCCCCAAACAGCCAGCATGATGTTTGTCAACTTCTCATGCACCTTTCTTCGGGGCTTCCTCGTGACCTCTCTTGCGTTTCATGGCGAGCTCGTGCTCCCAATGCACCTCACCACGAGGGTAACTTTTTCCCACTTCCTCTTCACCTCCCGGAGCACGAAGTCTCTATGAGGGAACTCCTGGCAAGTTGGCAACAAGGTGGAGAAGTGAAAATCCTTACTCACCCGCCTTTGATTGCATTGCAGCTTTTGAGGTTTGTTAGGGAAGGGGCGGGTTTTCGGAGGCTCGAGAACCCAGTTGGTTTTGAGGATCCTTGTGTGCTTGAGGGATTGGATGGGGAACTTCTTCGTTACTACCCCAAGGCCGTGGTCTCGCATTTAGGCAACTCCCCGACCTCTGGACATTATCGTACATTACTTCTCCCCTCCAAGCTTATTACTGATGATGGGGTAGGTGCTGTTTGCGCCAAGCCTGCAGATGTAGCCTGGTCTAAGTGCTACTCGTACCTGGTTTTGCTAACCCTCCATGTCTGAGCCTTCTCGCAGCTTTTGGCTCCAAGATGGGTAAAGGAAAAGGGAAGAATAAGCCAGGGAAGGGGCAGAATGCCCCTTTCGAGGACCCGGTAACGGAACAGCGGTACCAGGCCCTCTTGCAGCATCGTTTTAGTGAGGGCAAACCTGCTATTTCGAGATCAAGGTACTCCAGGCAAAGCCAGCATTCAGGTACCGACCGGGAACCTCCGGCTTCTGGTCCCAACTTGTCAGGTCGGTTGAGGCCCCTATCACGAGGCCAAAAGCCGCACCCAAGCCGGGGTAGCCCGAACCCCACCACCACCACCACCAAAGCGGCAACGCACAGAGGCCCAGGCTGAGGAGGCCTCGCCATCCGGTTCCAATCTGCAGGCTCAGGTGCCCTCGCCTTCCAATGCTGATGAACCAGGCCTAGCCTCCACAACCCAGGTTGAGCAGGTCCCGCCTGCACCAACCTCTCCTTTGGGGCCTGAGCAGGATGAGGTGCTGACCTCTCCTAAGCAGGAACCTGCCCAGAGTTCTCAGACTGAGGTTCCTTCACCGGCAACCAAGCCGGATACAGATGCTGGTGATCCAGGCCCGGCCGCCACAACCCAGGTTGAGAAGGTCTCGCCTGAACCGGCCTCTCCCTTGGAGCATGAGCAGGAAGAGGTACTGACCTCTCCTAAGCAGGAGCCTGCCCAGAGCTCCCAGGTTGAGGTTACCTCACCGGCGCCCAAGCCGGATACAGAAGGCAAGGCTTCCAAAACACAGGTTGAGAAGATCTCACCTGAGCCAGCCTCTTCTTTGGTCCCTGAGCAGGTTGAGGAACCCTCACCTCATCCAGATCCTGTCCCCAGTGACCAGGTTGAGGCAAACTCACCGGCCACCACCAAGTTTTCGGAGGAGGCTCCTTTTTTCAGCGGAGTCCCATCCAGGCCCAGATCCGGGAATCAAGGGCGAGGACATCAGAGGGGAACCAGGTTCGGAGGTTCCCTTGGAGCTTCTCTTCAAGCAGCCCCTGAAGATCCCGAGATCCCTCCGAGGTGTGTCCCTAAACAAAAAAGGCTCGTCTGGCACGCCTTGGACTTTTTACACTCCGGCGGAGCTGGAGGACGAGCATGGAGGGGTATGGGCCGTTTTGGGGGTAGGTGGCAGTCGTATCACCTTGGAGCCCCCGGCTCAATGGGGACTTGGAGCCGCAGTTCAGGTCCTCAAGCTGGGGCTCGCCGAGGCCATGGACCAGGAGCAGATTTTTCTGGAGGGACTATCCAGAGATTTCACCTTTATTCCTCGACCGGGGTCTTCTGGTGAAGTTCTGCTCACCTTGTCAGAGAATGGCCATGGCAAGGGTTTTACCCTACGTGGCCGCGCGGTTTTCTACAGGCGGGTCATCCCTGTGGCTTCTCCGCAGGGAAGGCTTAGGACACTTGATGTCCCGGACCTCCTGGCTTTGTTAAGTGTGGTCGCGTTTTTGTGTGCCTGCCATATCCGCTTGTCGGATCTTGGGGAGCACAACGTAGGTTGGGCCCTCCCGACCTTGGCGCGCACACGCGCCGAGAACATGGCGCTCCAAAGTGCAAAGCTGCGCTCGGCCGACTACGTGCAGGTTTGTTTGTACGACGGGGGCCGCTGGAGAGAAGCGCAGCACAAGCACTGGCCTGGAAAGGCGGCAACCAAGGGGCTCCTTGGCCTATGTGCCAAACATGAAATGTTTGGTCCATGGGTGGAAGAACAAATCCACCTCTATGGCTCCCCCGAGGTTTTGTGCAAGGTCTTCCTCCACCGCCTCCAGGACTTTCCGCACCACTTTGAGGGCTTAAAGGACTCGGGGTTCTTAACCTACCTCCCCTTGTGCTACAAGGTTGGTATGGTCATCCCCCTGAGCAACCCTTGGAGCAATCCGGATGATACAACCTGGCAGCTCGTTCCGATCCCTAGTTTGGACACCCCAACCAGTTGAGAAACCCCTGAAGGGTTTTAAGGTGAGGTGACTCCCTTAAGCTTGCAAGCCGCTCCAGGGTGAGGAGACTCCCCTTTCCAGCCTTAATTCAACGAGCCAATTTGGTCACAAGCCTAAGTCTGCTCAAGGTGAGGTTACTCCCTTGCTCTACAAGCCAACAACGTGAGGAGACTCCGTGGACTTGGAGAAGCTACAAGGTTGAGATACCTCCCTTGCACCCCTTTTGTTGCCGCCTAGCTCAAAGTGAGGAGACTCCTTGGAAGGTAGGCTGAGGGCAACCGCAGTAGGCAGGTGAGCTCGACCAGTCTGTGCCGAGGGTGCTGTTTAAGGACATCACCTGATGTCAGACTGGTCTAGAGAAACTCGCCGCTCCCAAAGTGGACTAGGCTCCGAAATCAGGGTGAGGTGACTCCCCTAAAGCTCCGTCTCACCCTGACTCGAACTGGGCTCAGCCCAGCGGACCGACCGCTCGAGCGTGATTTTCAATCCTATAATGGTGCCCCTGTGTCTCGCCAAGGTCAGGAATACTTTCTGTTTTCTCCTTTGTGAGTTTTAGAGAACCTTAGGTGTAGGTGTGAACGGTAGGAGTAGGGAAAAGTTGTCTGTCTGTCGGTCGCTGCGCTCACGCTTCCTGTCTCACCTTGCGGTGAAAGTGATCAGTGTCAGAAGCGTGTCCAACCGGAGTTTTTCCTCACGAGTTTTCACGAAGAGTGGTGTTTCCCTGAATTTTCCTGAAGCATGATGAACATCAGAGTGTTTTCAGTTTGTTTGCTGTGAGAACGGACTTCTAGACGAAGTCCGGGGAACACCTGGGCCGCGTAGCAGAGTTGCCAGTGCAGAGAAGCCGTTAGGAGTCCTTAGGACTTACCTCGGAAGTGAGTGTGCTGAAGTCTCTGTCCGCGCCCCGTTTCATTTGGCTCAAGACTTGCACTGCGTGACAAGCGCGTGGTGAACAGTTGGTTGCGAAGAAAGGTGTAACAGTGCTGTTAGCTTTCATTGCTGTAGCCTTGTTTGACGTAGTCAGTCAGTCGGCTTGCACCTCCTTTTACTAAACCTAGAAGCGACACATGAGGCTTGCCTCTATTAGCTTTATTTTCCTAGGAGAGTTTTGAAAATTACTGCGAAGTTTTCAAAACGCCTTTGCTTTAATTTGAACCACATTTCATGGCATGAATGCATGCTTTGAATCGTCTGAGTTCATCTCTTTTATTTCCCGCGCCGCCTCGAGACAGGGGTGGGATGGGTGGGTAGCTGCACCCTGGCCAAAGGGCCGGAAATTTTTGTAGTGGGGTGTAGCGTTTGCCATGCTGGCCTGACGAGGCCGAGTTTGCAGCCAGCATGTCAGGGGACGACTCTCTTGAAAGTAGCCTCAAGAAGGCTCGCGTGCATGGGGCTTATGAGGGTCACCATGTGTCAGCTACGCGTGTTGCATCCCGAGGGCTTGGAAGCACAGTTAAGATGCCGTGGGAAATAGCTTCTACATTTCTTGACATGCCTGCTTTGCCCTCGCCTTTCGCCAAAGGGGGATGCATTGTGTCAGCGCCAGTGGGGCCGGCCGGTTCCGCAGGGCCGGTGAAGTCGTCTTCGGGAAAGCTTGAGTCACTCAGGCTTGCTGGAGTGAAGATTCCGAGTGTGCCGGGACAAAGCTGGGATCAGAAACTCTCTGAGGCGAGGGAAGCAGCTTTGGCAAAGTGGCTAGGGATTCTTGAAAGGTTCCCCGACGATTTCGGTCTTTCTTTGTCGATTCGGCTAGATAAGGAGAACGGGCGAGACTCTGACTTGAAGTCGTCTTTGCAAGATGTGTTTTCTCAAAAGGCGAGTGTCACGATCTCAGGCCGTGCTGGGCCCCTTGCCAGGTACATCAAGCACTGCCGAAGTTGCCAGGTTGTTCCTTTCCCTGTCACTGAAGCAGGGATCTATGCTTTCCTACAGGATTATGCATCTCACGAGGCGCCCACTTTCGCCAGGAGTTTCTTGAGCAGCCTTGCTTTTGCAAAGTTCACTGTGAGCTTGAAAGTGAGTGATGAAGTCTTCAGCCCCAGGGTCCGTGGGCTGTCGTCGAAGCTGTATCTTGAAAAGAGGAAGACTCGGCAGAAGCCGTCGCTCAAAGTTGATCATGTGCGGAAACTGGAGGCCATCGCTTCCGGCTCGATCGTGCTAGAGCCTTCAGACCGGGTCGCTGCTGGCTTCTTCGTGTGGACCTTGTATGCACGAGCGAGGTACTCGGATGCCCAAGCTGCAGGTGCAATGACTTGTGACTTAAGCGACACGCCGGACGGCACAGTCGGATACCTGGAGTCCGCTGTTGAGCGAAGCAAGACTTCGTTCTCTCTGGAAAGAAAGGTCAGGTATTTGCACATGTTTGCTCCCATCCAAGGTATAGGTGAGGTGCCCTGGGGTGTCAAGTGGTTTGAGTTCTATAAGGAGCATGGGCCTCCTTTGGGGTCGGGCAAGCGCTTGCTTCCGAGCCCGCTCTCTGGCGGAGGGTGGCAAACATCGCCGCTGGCGGTGGCGAGTGCCACGAAATGGATGAAGTCACTCTTGATCCGTGCGGGTTGTGACAGGTCTTCCGTTGAACCGCTTGGGACGCATAGTCTCAAGGCAACGACCTTGAGTTGGAGCGCCAAATTCGGACTATCCCGTGAGGTGAGAGCGGCCCTAGGCTACCACGCCAGGGGCCGTGATGGGACCGAGCTCATCTATGGGAGAGACAACATGTCTGCTCCTGTGCGCCAGCTGCAAGGGGTTCTGCTCGAGGTGTCGCGCGAAAGGTTCATGCCGGACGCCACCAGGTCCGGTTACTTCGTGAAGCGCTTTGAAGATCCAGAGGGGATGCCCATTCCTCCTGAGGAGGTCTTGTCGGAATCTTCTTCCGAGGCCAGCGAGGATGCCGAGGATGTCGATCATGTAGCTGCGGAGGCGGCCACCGACGAATTGGGAAGGCAATGGGAGCCCGATGCAGGCTTGCGTGCCGAGCTTGAAGCAGTCCCTTTGTTCAGGAACAGAGACAGCCGTTTCATCCATGCTGTCGCATCCGAAGAAGGCGACAAGTTCAGATGCGGAAGAAACATATCGACCAGGTATGAAAGGTTGTCTTCCGTCCCTCGAATTTTGTTTCCGCTGTGTCGAAGCTGTTGCCCACCTAAGAAGTGATGCTGAGGAGTGCAGTGAAAAGGAGTTTCTGAGTTTCTGAGCGTTGCGCGCTTAGGCTGAGTGCTTCCAGGAGTGTGTGCGATTTGTAGTTTTCGAGTGACATGCATCAGTCAGAAGCAAGCATCGCGTTCATGAGAAGTCGGCTCAGTCTTAGGAAGTCTGTGCTTGAACCTGGTAAGTCAGAGCTCAGGCCACGAGGTGCGGATTCGAGAGTGTTCTGAGGACTTTCAGCAATTTGTAGGAGTTTCACTAGCTCGGTTCCTGCTCCTGACGATGGCTAACTACTCTGAGAGTCAATCGGTTCTGCAGTCGCGATTGAGTGTCGTGGGTTTCGCAGAAGATGACGTTCAGAAAATCCTGCCAGAGGTGGGAAACTTGAGGAGGTTGGCGTTCATTTCTTCTTTCACACCTGGTCAGACTGACGAGGGGCCGCTGATGCAGGTGTTGAAAGACATTCTGAAGCGAGACTTGACAATTGCAGACAAGGCTAATTGGCGTGCGGTTTACAATGAAGCTTTTGCCATTGTGACCGCGGAAATGAAGCAGAGGATTGAGAAGGCCGACCCAGAGTCGACCGTCAGGCCTTTGTCTCAGCCTGAGAGGTCTGAGAGGTACGAGCGGCAGGCCAAGAAGCTTGTCGGGATTTCACTGAAAGGGCCTCTGGAGCCTGCCGATGCACTTGTTGATCTTGCTGTGGCTTCCTATGAGGCAAATGAGCTGAGGTACATTCCGTGGGACCGGTGTGTGTCCAAGGAAGCTGAACTGGCTGGCGAGAAGAAACGCGATGTCAGGTTCACTGTTGAGGAGTCTTCGGGAAAGCTTCGGATCGAGCACAAACAGCCTGATCTGGTTGCGGATACTTCATCGGAGATTCTTGTTCAGCAGGCTCTCACCAGGAGAGCTTTGGCCATGGATCAGGCGAACCTGATCGAGTTCAGTGTTGCTGATAAGTGGACTCAACGCTTGATGAAGGCCCGCATGCAAGCGCCTGCGGAGCATTTTGCCAGGCCCACTTGGAAGCAACTTGAGTCGGCAGATCGGCAGCTGTTTGCCGAGCTTCGTGATAAGACCAGGGCAGGAGTGCAGACTGTCGCATCGGGTCGCCCGTTGGACACACTTCTGCCAGATGCGATGTACATGAACGAAGTGTCATGTTTATTGCAACCTTTTCCGGCCCCTGCCCTAAAGGATGTTCCCCAGAAGCCGGATGCTCCCAAGTGGGAGAGGCCTTCTCCTTACAACAAAGGTGGAGGCAAAGGAAAGAAAGGTAAGCAGAGGTTCATGACAAGGTTGCCCGCCGGCCTGGAGGGCTGCAGGTCTCACACCAATCGTGGTGACCCAATCTGTTTTGCATTCAATCTGGGAGGATGCCCTACCAAAGGGCAGAAGTGCGAGAAAGGCCTGCACATTTGCGCAGTGCCTAAGTGCGGTGCTCACAACCATGGTGCAGCGCAGTGCCCAAAGCGGGCTCAGGGTGGCTCGTGACTAGCGGGTCACGAGGGTGCGTCGCTGATGGCCGGTGCTCCAGAGAGTGTGCATCAGCCGGCAGCGGGAGCCTCACAGGTGGATGATCTCCTAGAGGGAGTTCATCGGCCGAGCAATGCATGCGCCGGCGGCTCTCCTCCGAGTGGTGTGGAGTGTCGTCTGCAGTCAGGTGTTGATCGAGAGGATCATCACATGCACAACGTTGGCTCTCACAGTGCCATCTCCAGGCCATCACCAGGTGTGGTGGAGGCCGCACGCAGCAGGTCCCCGAGGCCCCGTGATGGGGCACAGTCGCAGAGAGGTTCTTCACATGACGAGGGCCATGTGAGTGCCGCCGATGTTCTGCGGGTTTTCGATGGTCTTCCTTCGGATGCCTTGAAGAGGGGTGCCGATGCACCTCTCCCAACTTCGAAATCTTATGCCACGGGAGCGTATGTTCTTGGTGGTAATGTAGGCCTGAAGGCCAATGCCTCAGCCAACCCGGAGGCGCTCAAAGTCTTTGCAAGGTTTGTGAGACAGCGTGCTCCGGGGTTTAAGTTTTCTTCGATAAATATATTTGAGGATGTTCGCACTGAGCGCCATCGAGATCAGTGGAATGCCAACTTGCATAACTTGGCGATTGCACTGACTGACTTCTCAGGTGGAGCTATCTTTGTGGAGCATGAAAACGGTCGAGATGTATCCGACCTTAATGGTGCACGAGGCTCTCGCTTGCAGGTTGCTAAGGGCCCTGTTCGATTCAATGCCAGACACAATTGGCACTACACCGAGGCGTGGCAGGGCCGTAGAGTCTTGCTGGTTGCATTCACCATCCGTCATGTTGAATCGCTGTGCAAGGAACATCTTGACTTTCTCCGCGAGTGTCATGTTGATGTTCCGGAATGCGCGCCCGAGGGCGCGCGGTTGGCGCCTGCTGAAGCGTGTGCTCGTCAGCCGCCATCCTTGACCTCCCCCGCAGCTCAGGAGTCGCTTAGGCCCTTGCCCGCTTCGGTTGTCCCCGCCGTTGACCCTAAGGAACCTGTGAGCGACCCTGCTAGTCCCTTGAAGCCCGGTTCTGCTCTCTATGTCGAGATAAAGTGTGGGTCCGGATTGCTGCCGGCTCGGGTGCGGCGGGACGGATTTCAAATCATAGCGCTTGAACATACTCGCCCCGCTGGGCGAGTGCACACTCACCTTGTCCCGGTAGACATTGAAACGGAGTCGGGTTTCTCCTTTGTGCAGACTGTCATCAGCCACGATGCCCCTTTTCACGTGCATTTCTTTCCTGCGACCAAGGATTGTTTTAAGGCTACTTTTTGCGCCGGGCAAACCATTCGCATCGCCAAACTCTTGCTTGCATCTGATTCGCATTGGAGTGTCTTGCATCCCCTGGCGTCAGTCCTGTGGAAACAGCTCGACTTGCCCGACAACCTCCATTGCGTGGACTTCTGTGCAGGTTGCTCCGGGGCTCCCAGTCCTGTCAAAATGCGTCTGTGCACAACCCAGGCCGCGCTGGCTGGCATGCCGGTGCCAGCATGTCGTTGTCGCCCCGGGCCCCATGCTGCGGGCTCGCTTTCCCCAGATGCCTTGTACACTTCGAAATTCTGTGATGTGTTTGCTGGCCTCCTGCAGCTGGCGGTTGGCCAATCTGGCCTCTTACTTGAGCACGCTCTTCCACTGCAGAGTTCGCGGCATTCTGCCGTAGCAGCCGCTGGGCGGCAGCCGCGATTGTCAAAATTCCAGCCGCAGATCGCCGAGTTTAAGTGCCAAGCCACGGTCCGTGAGTTTCCGTGGCCCCTTCCTTTGGATAATAAAGGCAATCTCACCTGTGCCGTAGGGTCGATCCCTCCTGGCTCCCGCCTTCTTCGCGTTGTGTGTGATCGGGGGGTCGTCGGTGCGAAACAGGTCGGAAGCCTGTCAGGTGTGCCTTCAGCAGTTACCTTTGGCATTTACCGCACGGAACAAGAGTTTGTGGCTCAGGCATTGCATATCGATCATCCCTTCGACTTGTGCGTGGCAGTCCCAGACTTCATGTTGAGAGCGTTGGCTTTTACCTTGAAAGAGGGCCCAGTTGGTGTGATGAAGCACCGTCTGAATTTGCTCCAGCAGTGGACTTCTTGGAAACGCGATTTGGCTGGTGCCGAAGCAGAGCTGCATGCTGCCATGGACCCTGGTGTGGCTTCTGTTATAAAGGGCAAGAATATTTTGCTTTTGGAAAAAATTGCATCGTCTTTCGGATGGCCTGACACTGAAGTCTTCGAACACCTTAAGCATGGTTTTCCTTTGGTGGGGGAGTCGAGTCCTTCTGGCATCTTCGACGTGGATAGAAAACCGGCTCTGATGACAAGGGCAGAGCTTGTGCAGCATGCTAAATTCCTTAGGCCTGCGCTGTGGGCGAAGGTGGCGAACGCGGAGGTGGATGATTTAGCTCGGGAAGTGTGGGATTCCACACAGCAAGAGATGCTAGTCAAGGAGTGGCTAACCGGGCCTTACTCGTGGGACGAGCTGCAAGCCCGTCACCCAGAAGGCTGGCTTCCAGTGCGGAGGTTCGGCATTGTGCAAAAAGCCAAGACGCGGTCGATCGACGATTTGGCCGAGAACTCTGTAAACTGCGCTTACGCTGTTTCCGATCGGATTTCTTTGAGGGCCCTTGACGAGTTGGTCTGGCTTGCGATCACCCTCTTCAAGATCTTCCTTGCAAAAGGCGAGGTGAGCATCCCGTTGTCGGACGGTGACCATCTTCGCTTTCCGGTGCATTCTTTCTGGAGGGCCCTGAAACCCGAAGCGCTTCAGCCGAGCTTGAAAACAGTGGACTTGAAGAGTGCTTATAAACAGTTGGCGGTTTCTCCACGAGACCGCTGTCTGAGCATAGTGGCCATCAAGGACCCGGTCTCGGGGCTTGCGTTTGGCTTCGAGAGCCGAACCCTTCTGTTTGGGGCCACCTCGTCGGTGGTCTCATTCAATCGCGTTGCAAGACTGCTCCAAAGGGTTCTGGTTGCCTTGCAGGTGCTCGCCTGCAACTACTTCGACGACTATCCGGTGTTGGAGGTCCTGCCGCTTTGCAACAACACGCAGTCAACTATCAGAGCTGTGCTGGACCTGTTGGGTTTCACATGGGCAGAAGATAAGGATCTTCCCTTCAGCCATGAGGCTGAGCTTTTAGGCGTTCGGGTTGACCTTGGTTGCTTTGGGGTAGTTAAGATTGGGAATAAGCCCGAACGTGCAACTTCCATTGCTGACGCAGTGGACTCCGTCTTGAGAGCGGGCCATCTTGATCCGAAGACTCTGCCATCATTGTTCGGTCGCTTGCAGTTTGCAGAGGGTCAGCTTCACGGGCGATTGGGCAGATTGGCACTGGCCGACCTCAGGGCGTGCACGATGAGTTCTCAGGCCAAAACCCTTGATGCCACGGCTGTGCAGGCCCTTTGTAATCTTAGGTCCCGGGTTCTTGGGGGTACCCCTAGGATAGTCCCGGCTTGTGTGGGGTCTCGTCGTTCTGTGATTTTCACAGATGGAGCGTACGAGCCGACGAGTGAAACTCACCCCGCCACTGTCGGAGGAGTCTTGTACCATTTCGACAACGGCGCGTGGTGCACTTTCTTCTTTGCATGTGCTATCCCTTTGAGCGTTGTACAGAGCTGGGAGGCTCTCGGGAAAAGGCATTTGATAGGCCCAGTTGAGATGTATGCAGTGGTATGTGCGAGAGAAGCTTGGGCAAAGCACTTGGACATGCAAAGGGTGACCATGTATGTGGATCACTCCGGAGTGTTGGCCTCCTTGGTGAAGGGCTCTTCGAAAGACCCTTTGTGGAGGCAACTCTTGCTGATCTTTGAGAGCTGCGACGCTGAGGCGATGCTTCCTTGGTTTAGCCGCGTTCCAAGTGCAAGTAATCCGGCCGATCCTCCTTCGAGAGCTAAGTCAATCTTTCCAGTCAGGGGGCAGGTGTGCAGAGTGTCGCCTCGATGCCCGATCAAAGGCAATGCCACGATTGATCTCCTTCTTAAGTGAATGGGGTGTTCGTTGGCGATCCTCGTGTTCGCCATCGATCGGTGCGGGGATGTCACGACTTCCCCCTTCGGCTTTGCCGGAAGGAAAAAGCGCCACATCTGCTTGAGCAATTTTCTTATTCTTTATATACTTTGATTTTCCCATATAGCTTGGGAATACTGTGATTGGAATCTTACTCAGAAATAAAGCAAAGCTCCGTGGAAAATAAGCGACACATGAGGCTTGCCTCTATTAGCTTTATTTTCCTAGGAGAGTTTTGAAAATTACTGCGAAGTTTTCAAAACGCCTTTGCTTTATTTGAACCACATTTCATGGCATGAATGCATGCTTTGAATCGTCTGAGTTCATCTCTTTTATTTCCCGCGCCGCCTCGAGACAGGGGTGGGATGGGTGGGTAGCTGCACCCTGGCCAAAGGGCCGGAAAATTTTGTCCCTCCCTCCACTCCCGGGGTGTTCGTTGGCGATCCTCGTGTTCGCCATCGATCGGTGCGGGGATGTCACGACTTCCCCCTTCGGCTTTGCCGGAAGGAAAAAGCGCCACATCTGCTTGAGCAATTTTCTTATTCTTTATATACTTTGATTTTCCCATATAGCTTGGGAATACTGTGATTGGAATCTTACCTCAGAAATAAAGCAAAGCTCCGTGGAAAATAAGTGTGCCTCAAGGCGCGTTTGGGTTTTAACGACGCTGGTGGCACTGACCGGTATGTGTGCTTGCTCACGAGTGTTTGGTAATGTTTTGCATGCTTGCTGCATTTCATGACATTCCATGTTCATTGCAGCAAGCAGGCTCGCAGCTGCCAGCTCGCCTGCATCGCAGGCAAAAATTTTGTAGGCTTAACAGGCCTTTCTTTGTAAGCCCTCTAGAACAGCTCTGGAGGCCTCCAATCTGTGTGGAGTTTAGCTTCACTACATTCCTCTCCCGCTCGCGATAGGGGGAGGAGTGCATGGTTTTCAGGCCAGCTGATTTTGCGGTGCTCTGTTGCATTTATTGCTTCAATTGCATTATGGAA